ACACAAAGAAAGCCTGGATATGTCAAACCTGCTTCGTAGTTCAGCCCTCTGGTGTCTTCAGCTGGACTATTCACTCTACAATTTACTTCTTTCTTCTTCAATAATATCCAAAGACAAATACCGTTTAACTAATTGATTGATCCAGAGACGGATCAACAGATTACCTGACAGTGGAAACCATCGTCGACTTCTTTGTGCGTCTGTAACAGAGTTGTGTTTGCATCTGCAGCGGTGGCGGCGGTAACTTTGTGCTGTCGTCCAGCCTGGTGGGCTACACCACGGTGCTGGGGGCCGTGGCTCCCATGGTGCACCACGGCTACGGCTTCTTCTACCGCATCAGAGACGACAGGTGGGTGGACGCGACAGAAACACGACTTAATGGAGCCGATAAAACCCCAGAAACAGACAAGAGAAACAGATTTTCACTGGTAGCATTGTTGTGTCATGAATCTGTCTCCGTCAGCTGGTTAAGTTTAAGTACATAATACAGCTGATCTCAGAAAGTACGTTCTGTTTAATGCAGCTTGCATACAGTTGCTTCATCATAATTATAATATTGATTATTTGTGTCAGTAACACTAATGTAAAAGCAATTTTTAATATGAAATGTTTTTATATAATTTACATATAAGGGTTTAAACCTTACAACAACTACATGAAATGCTACTGACTTTACTGACTATATTATGCATAGAAGTGGGACGTACTACTCCATCATAATTATAATAATAGTAACTTTGTTTGTATAGCACCTGTCAAAAACGTGAAATAAAGTCCTTTTCAACTAAATAAGTGTCAGATAGAACAAATAATTCAAACGAATAAGATCCTAAATATGAAGTCTAACTATATAAAATAGCCACGTCAAGTCAAGCTGTTGTGTTTTTTTCCTTTTTATAAAAAAAAAAAATGTACAGCACCGACAAGATAACAATAACTGATGTGATTGGCAACCTTGTGAACACCCGACTTGTGGTGTGATTTTAGCTGAGTGATTTACATTTTAGGGATTAAAACCCCACTAAATTATTCAAAATGCAACTTAACCTGCCTCTATATTACATGTTAGGATTGGAAATGTACATTGTGTTTGAATATATACAGCACTTTAAAGTTGCCTCCAGTTAAAGGGATCATCATTGGCTCTAAAAAAATCAATCTAGCAAGGTTAAATAATGGGGTTAAGACCCTGTAGTGTTATTAATGGTGTGATTTTACCAGAGGAATGTGCACATTAAGGCAAACAAACTCTACATAATGATAAAAAAAAAATGCTACTTTATCTGACTATAATACATATTAGGGCTGAGATCCCTCAGTGTTGTTGATTTTGGGGTTTTATAAAACGCTTCCTATCACTGTAGGGTTTGAGTTAAATGTTGTAATTCACATCCTCGTTTGTTTCTTCCCTGCAGGATTGTGATCTCCGTCTCAGCGTGGAATTCCTGCCACGAGACGGATGCTGTGACGCTGTTCAATTACTTCTCCAGCTCCCTGCATGAGATGCTGTACCTGGCCACCACGTCTCAGCTATAAGTCATCGTAGCAGAAGAGAGACAGAGAGAGGCCAGTTTAGACCTTCACCTCTCTGTCCTCGTTAGAGCCTTAACACGCTGCTCGGTTAATAATTAGATCGGCACAAATCAATGCAACGGTGCAGAATCTGAACCACTAGATGATCTCGACTGTTCGCGCATGAAAGTAATGGTTTTGTTTCTTGTAGTCCTGAACAAGAGTTTTTCTTTTGTTAATTTTTCTTTCAGATGTGTATATTTGTGTATCTTATTCGATTTTCAAAATTTCACAATTCTAGTTGGGATTTTTTTGAGACTCTAATTTTTAGAATAACAGTATTAATCCACATTTAAGCTCAGCGCTAAGTGAATGTCTTCCAAAGGCCTTCGTTTCAACAGTGAACAGGCATTTTAATGAAACCCACAGAAACACCGACACAGAAGTTCAATCAAATTGATTCTCCCCGTTGAGGTTTTGGATCAGGCCGCCTGTCCCACTGAGCTCTGCAACAACAGCATCCAGCCTTTAAATCTGAACTGAAATGACGTTAAAATCACATGAAAGTTAATCCTATTGGAATTTTTGGCTTTTTGACATATTATGACACAATGACCAATCAATTAGTTGTCAACTTTTAAATTAATTGCTGATCAGTTAATCGGTTTGAGTTTTTTTGTTTTTTTTTTAGGTATAAAAAAAGTCTAAAGTCTCTCATTCCAGCTTCATAAATGTTAATATTTTATGGTGTCTTTCCTCCTCTGTGGCAGTATGCTTAAGTTTTTTGTTTATGTTTTGTTTTTTTAAACCATTTTCTAATGTTTTATCAACCAAAAGCTAATCGATTAACCGAGAAATTTCAATTTTTTCACGTGAACAGACAAACAAAACAACATGAGTTTCGTTAATGATGAGATTAATTTGACAACGAAGGACATTGGTAGCAGAATCTGATTTGTTTTCTATATGAGTCACAACAGGCTCAAAATCAGGGAGCTTCACTCCTTCAGAACTTTATAAAACTAAGCGATGCCTTGCAGTCTTTTATTCAGCTTGGCTTGTGTTGGTTTGCTGTTCGTTGCGTTTTTCTTTAAAACCAAAACATGAATCGCTGCACCTTATTATTTCTACACACGCTGCAGTTTTCCTTGTTTTCACGTCAGTCCAGTCGAAGACAACTGAATGTTCACTCGGCCTTAAGAATAAGATGGATTTTCTTTCTCCCCTGTATCTCACTGCTTCCGAAGCCTTACACTGATGGGATTGTGAGCTTTTTATAAACAGCAGAAACGTCAATGATTGTACTATTTTCAACTCACAAATAAAGTCGAGAGACGAGTTTTGTCCAGTTGAATTAATACACTGAGGCGACGGTTCAGTCTTTGAATATAAAACTTTAATAGTTATTTATTTTATATATAAGCATGTTCATCTTCTTCAAAAACAAATATACGTGATGTAGAAACACAAACAGATTCTTAGTGAACTCAATTTACGCAGCCCTGTGTACAGAAAACAGCATTTTTCTTGGGTTCAGGCACTTTTGCTCCATTTTTAACTTTCTAAGAAGTTGAACTGAATCTAGCAAAGCAAACATTAACACACTTTCTACAGAACATAACTTATTAGCGATGATGATGATTCCAGTGTTAAGAGACATACTTCATGATAATAAACCATATTGTCAGCTTTGATTGCAGATTATTTCCCATTCATAAGCCACAAATTATTCATAGCCAATTTTTAAATGTGGATGTAGAGTTAAACGTATTTGCGGAGGAGGTTTATTCTGTCTGGAAATTACAGAAACGAGTGACAAAACACAGTAAGACATAACGTAAGAGATGCACTTTAGCTATTTCTGTTTTATTACTATCTTTTGTCACATGTTCCAGGCAGATAAAACAACCTGTTGCTCAAGTAAAAATTCACTACAAATCAAAATGCTCACGTTGACATGAATGATTTGAGGTTTAACTGCCACCTCGTGACTCAACAGCAGGTGGCGGCAGGAATCAGCAGCTAAGTTTGCATCAAGTAGCTTCGCCTTCGACGAACAAAATAAGGCAACAATTTTATTAGACAAAGCATTTCTTTAGGATAACGTGAAACGTAAAGACATTTTTAGGAAATATCCAGCTTTTGCAGACTCCTGCGCCACAGAGAGGTAGGAGGTGGAAGGAGACGGGCAGTAGAGCTTCCACTTGGAAAAGCACCTGTGATTTCACTACAAAATGTCGAGAATGCGCTCCTGTTTACGAAGCACTAACTGAGATCAGAGAGAAAGCACAGGCTTTGCTAATAAAATAGGCAAATTACACAATCAGGCTGGTCATTTACACCTGCAGTTTTCTTACGTGTCTTAATGTGGTTGGTATTTTTAAAAAAAAATGCCCATAAACGTGACGACAGCAGCGCAGACTTTATGCTCACAGGATACAGTCCCTTAATCCCCACTGGAGCTGCTCAGTCTGTACAAATGAAGCAGCGGGGAGTCGCTAAGTGCTTTTAGGTGCAGCTCAAAGCTCGTCATTGTGGACTGTGGCTCATCTGTGTGGTGACCAGCATGTAGTAGACTCCCTTCTTGGCCAGCAGCTGTTGGTGCGTGCCCTGTTCGACCACCACTCCGCCCTGGAAGACGGCGATCCGGTCGGCGTTCTGGATGGTGGACAGGCGGTGGGCCACGATGATGCACGTGCGGCCTTTGCTTGCCTGATCCAGGGCGTCCTGCACCACCTGCATGGAGTCAGGTACAACGCTGAGTCATTAACAATAACTTTAATTACGAAGCAGCTTCTAAAAACAGTTTACAAAATAAATCAATACAACAGACACACACACACTTCACAGTTGGGATGGTGTTCTCAGGCTCGCAAGCTGTGTATAACTGAACAGATGAACCTTCAGGCATCTGAAAGTTGTACCCGAGGATGAACCAGACTTGTGGAGGTCCACAGTTCTCTTCCTGATATCTTGGCTGATTTCTTTAGATCTTCCATGTTGTCACCAAAGGAAGCAGTGTGTTTGAGGTGTGCCTTAAGATACATCCACAGGTGTGTCTCCAATTAACTCCCATGTTATCAATTAACCAATCAAGCTTCCATAGCCATGACATCATCATCTGGGCTTTTCCAAATAGTTTGAAGGCATCTTAGTGGATGTAAACTTCTGACTTTAAAGAAAGTACTAAAAAATTCTCTCTCTCATTATTCTGGCGTTTAGCAAATAGAAATAATGTTGGTGATCCTAACTGACCTAAAACAGGAAATGTTTAGTCTGATTTAATGTCAGACAGTGAGGGGAAAAAAAGTCTTTTTATACCGTGTATGTAAACTTCAGGTATACACAGTGCTTAACAAATTAGACAGGTGGTCTAATAAATGGGTTAAGCGCTGTATGTATGAGTACTGCTCCATTCAACACCCACAAACCTCTTCTTCTGTCTGTTTCTGTTGCTTGTGAAGTATTTCCATTTTTATTCCTTTTTATCTTTTATAATTAACTGCTTTTTCTCTATTTTTGACACGTTATAAAGCATACTTAGCTGTTACTATGACTTCTATTGTCACATAAAAACCTTGGATTTCACCTTCTTCTGATGAATATTTTGACACAGTTGGTAAATTGAAGCACATTTTTGTTATCCCATCCTCTAGCTCACGGATCGTAGCGGAGCCGGTATCATTCTTTCAGCCGAAGCACCAGTTATTTTTAAAAAAGCTTCACTTTTCAGTGGTAAAAAGACAAACCTTCTCGCTCTCTGTGTCCAGTGCAGATGTGGCCTCATCCAGCAGCAGCACTTTGGGGTTGCGGAGGATGGCTCGGGCGATGGCTATCCGCTGCTTCTGCCCTCCTGACAGCTGGGTGCCTTTATCGCCGGCCTGGGTGTTGTACTTCTGCTCACACGGAATGACAGAAAGGGGGAAATAAAACAATGACAGACGCATTAATCCTGCCCCTGATCGATCCGGTCACACCTCGCCGTAAATACTATATTTATGAGTTTATACTGATTTTAAAGAAGTTTGCTGCAACTCCCTTCAAAATAGCTTTATTCGTCAATCATGGTTTTTTGGAACATTTAAGGTTTTATTTTCTATGTTTCAGTTTTAATTGATATTGTATTTGTCTGAAAAACATACTGGAACAATACATTGATTTAAAGAAAAGCAAGTTGTTGAAATAGTTGAGTTTGTAGTGGTTTTAAGAAAGTAGTTGGAAGATACATCCAGCATGGTGAAACATCTTTCTGGAGTGCAGATGTGCACTCAGAAATTTGTCCAAAAACATTGAACAAGCTATTCAAAGTAACTCACTAATTTGTCCTGTGCGATAAACAAGTTCAAAGTTGAGTGGGAAAAAAAATACAACAGAACGATAACATAAATGCAGCACGGCTCGAAAAAAAGAGTTGTCAGGAAGTTGTTGGAAGACACATTCAGCACAGTGAAACATCTTTCCAGAGCTGATGTGTGGAGTAGTGTGACAGTTTGGTTTGTTAAACGGTAGAGGTTTTAAAAATGTAAAATAGCCATAGTTTGTGTAGCTGCTACTTCTTTTACAAGTATCCATAACACCTGTAGGCGCTTAGAAAAATGGTGTAATCCTGCCTCTGCTCCTAATGACCAGTTTATTCCTCCATCATGGTTTAATGGACTATTTAAGGTTTTTTTAAGGTTCTTTTGTCTCCGTTTTTATTGCTCTTTTATTTGACTTTGCAAGCCCTGTTGAGCTGCGATCGTTGCTCAGAACGCCATTTACACAGCCGACTCACCTGTGGCAGCTCTTCTATGAAGTTGTGAATGTTGGCCGACTTGGCAGCCGCCTCAATCTCTTCCATGGTTACTTTCCGGCTGTTGTCTCCGTAGGCGATGTTTTCGGCCAAAGTGCAGTCGAACAGGATGGGCTCCTGGGAGACGATGCCGATCTGGGACCTGAGCCACTGGATGTTCAGCTGCTTGGCGTTCATGTTGTCCAGCTCCTGCAGGAGAAGATGGCAGTGGTGGATTCTGACGTCGTAAATCTGCACTAATGTGGACATGCTTCGGTTTGAGTTAAGGGGGCAGGATGAGCATATTTACTGTACAACATAATATATGTCTGAATTCTTGTTTTACTGTTTCCATAGAGGTGCATGACTTTAAATTTTAAAAAAATTAGCCCACAGTGAGGAAAAACAGGATTTAAGAGGTTTAGAGAGTTAATATAGAAAATAAGGGCAGCTAGTAAAAGTCAATAAATGATTGTGATATTTGAAGACTTCAGATCATTCTCACAGTAGACAGGATTTGACCTTGGGATGAGGTAAAACACAAGGACAGGGCCATAAATATTACAGTACTTCCCCCGGGGCTGCATAAATGGTGCGAGCAGCAATCTAGATAAAAGCCTCATAATGTCATGGATTTCTCATAAAGCGAGCGGCCGGCTAACCATTAGCTCGGGGAAGTAGGTGAAGAGGCAGGAGCGTTTGGTTCTTACCACGCTACCCTCCAGTGGGTCGTAGAACCTCTCCAGCAGCTGGATGGTGGTGCTCTTCCCACAGCCGCTGCTGCCCACCAGCGCCAGCGTTTCCCCCTTCTTCACCGTCAGGTTCAGCCCTCGCAGGATGGGAATGTCGGGCCGCGACGGGTAGTTGAACTTCACCGACTGGAAGCTCACATTGCCATCAAATTTATCCTGGAGGACACGAGACAGCGACGTGTTACCGTGTGTTTGCTAAAAGAGAGCTGCTTATCTTTTGTGTGTTTTTTGTGCTGCGTACCGGTGACTCGCCCTGGTGCGAGAGGTTATCGATGGCAGGCTCTTTTTTCAGCAGCATCATGAGGTGGGCAGCTGACATCTTGGCCTTGGCGTAGTTGGGGGCGAAGGAGTTGGCCTCTCCGACGGCCATGGCGCCAAACAGAATGGCCGAGATCACACTGGAAGGAGTCATAAATGGGATTACATAACATGACATCTGTGTGCTCAGTGTGTTTGTCCACGCTGATAACATTGTCCATTCTTTTAAAGATGTGTGTTTGCTCTGTTCAGTCCACATGAGCTAATAACTGGAAGCAGACAACCTGTTTTTACATATTAGACACCTAACATCCCTGATATCCCTTAATTTACCCTGAACCAGCTTCGAAAACAGACATAATTAACCCCCAAAATGATTCATAGCCATGCCAAAGTTTGATTCATACTAAATTTCTATGTTACCCAATGGTGTCTTCTGGCTTTAAAATTATATTAACAAGTGACAAAACACAGTAAGACATTGTGTTACACATGGTACTGATGGATCTCAACTATATTTAGGCCATTTATGTCCAGTCATCAGTGTCAAAGTCAGTTGTTCTAGTGTCTAACAGCGTTTCTGGGATTTGGTTCCTCCAAGTGTCCATCTGCAG